CATCGTACAAGTGCACAAGCGAGGTAAATTTCAAGTGCACAAGCGAGGTAAATTTCAAGTGCACAAGCGAGTGCTCGCCCCAAATGAACCCTTTGTCTAGTGACTAGTGAGTTCACGCGGGTTTGTGAAGGTTCCACCATGTTCCACCGTTTGTTTGCACAGGCAATTCAACTGCTGTGATGGACTTGTCCTTCAATGAGGAGAACAAGTGACAACAAAGGGCGTTCTTGGAAAACCACTGGAACCAAAACAAGTTGCCTGTCCGTGACCATAACTAGGACGCATAACCTGGGGTACCTGTATGTACCTATGGGATAGTGTTCTGGGGTTCTTCAACCTCTTTTGGAACGTCAAGGATCAGCTGCGACGCGACTCCACCGACTCCCCCAAAGCTCCAAAACGCCCTACTTGGAGTCGCACCCAGTGCTGCCAAATGGTTCTGGGCGGACAAAGGTCGAAATAGGTCGAAATGAAGGCCATGTTTTTGTAGGGGCTCCTGGCCTTACTACTAGGAGCAAGGACGCTACTAGGGCCTCCTGGCATCGCTACTGGGAGCAAGGACGCTACTGGGGGAGGGCTCGGCATCCCTCGTCCTCCTCTTCTCACATCTTCTCACCTTCAGAGCCTGCTTATCTGCTTCTCGTCACCTTCATATGTGTTTAAAGCATGTGGCAGTCATGATGCATGTGTATTCAGTGGCAGTTCAGTTGTATGTTTGAATGCTATAGATCCCTTAGGACGAGATAGTTGTGTGGCGAGTTCCTGGATCGTGTGTCCATCAAGGATGCAACGGACAGCACCCGCCACCCGAAAAGTCGCGTGCGAATACAGGTACTTCTCCACGTTACCCTGCTCCACATGTCTGTTGCGCAAGCACGGTGCAAACACCACCGCTCTCACTTGTCCTGCTTGTCAACCAATCAAAGACTCCGTGCTGGTCGACTTTCTGGTCCGTGCTTGTGCTTGCGCACGGTGCCAACATCTGGTCCAGTTGGGCAAACATGACAAACACCTTGATCCTTTCCGTCGCTGCGGCGTCACGGGGACCGTCCTCCCCGTCGTCCCGCCTTGTTGTGTGGAGAGAAGGCCACCGAGGCATAGCCCTTGCTGGTGCCCTTACGCAAAATGCGATACAGCCTGCCGACGGCATCAACGCATGAGAGACGAGAAGAAGCAACATGAGGCCAGGAGCATGGTTGAGGCCAGAAGAAGCATTAAAGAGTGTGTCTTGAAGAAGCACCTGAGAAACTTCATGTACAGATCAGAACGTTGACTTTACAAGAAAGAACAAATGCCGCGTCACCGAGGACCTCATGTGGGGCCCTCCAGTTGGAGGAACAACTTGCATCACGAAAAACTGGAACAATCCTGGTCTCATCTTTTCTCCACATCCACGTCCGCACACAGCGCAGGGTTGCGTCACTCAATCCTCTTTGTCCTCCTCGTCCTCCTCCTGCTCCTTCTTGGCAAAAGCATCTATTGGATCTACAATGTGTGGCTTTAAAGCGAAACAACTCGGACAACTCCGGCCCAAGTTTCACACAAGTGCAAGGTCCCTGCCATCGGTCTGCTAGAGCACTCCGACAACTGGTTCTACAGGAGTGGTCCGAAACAGCACTTGTGAATGGGGATGGTATGAGTTTTGCAAACCTTCCCCATCTGGCCAATCTTTGAAAATGCCATGAACATGCTACGGTCATCGTGTAACACAGCAATGTGCCGCTACAAGTAGACGAGGCGAGGCCACATTAGGTACAATCCTTCGGACTGTATGCCAAGGAGCCGCTTGCGACCCGAAAAAGAGATCATGCCAAGGACATGTAAGTTTGGTTGGCAGTCCAAAGAACCTCTTACTCGGGAAGAAAGAGAACAAGCCTTGGAAAGAGAACGTGTTGCTGATGCGCTAACCTGACTCTGTCTGACACTATGAAGCCTTACATCAAACCTTCCAGGTTCTTCTCCCCGTCCTCCTCTGCTTCGACACTTGCCTTAGATCCACCGGTCCCACCAGCTGAACTGCCATGATCTCAGAGGTCAGTGGAACCAGAAGTCCAGAAGATGCCCCACCGGAGTCCACAATCGTTGAGCGAAACTAGCAGCTCTGTCTATGGCAAGATCTTTGCAATTCGTGTCCGGACAGTGAAAGCCCACCATTTGCTTGACAAAGGTGGGTCCCGGCAGGAAATGAATGCTCTGGTGTTGCCTTTCATGTTGAACAGAATTTGTATTGCAGGATCCAGTGTTTGCATCCAGTGCCAAAAACTTTTACCGAGATGCCTCAGCACCAGAGCGGTTGGATAGTCTGCAGGGAAGCCAGGCATTCAAACATGTGGAATCCCACTCTGTCTGAACATGAAGTTTGCCGGCCTTTTCCAAAAAACTTGACAATAATAACTATAACCCGACAATACAATCAATCTAAGTCATGAAACCATATGAAAACCAAACATAGACCCTTGGACAAGAAGATCAGACGGAGACAAAAAGTGCGGTCTCCTGCTCCCAACCACTTCGTCCACTTCGCCGTCGTCCTGAGGGGACGATTTGGGCCATAACTGCACCCTCAAAGAAGGCCACGAGACTGCCTGTGATGTGTTCATCTCAGTGCGCATGGAGACATGAACCTGTTCAAGACGATTTATATATATTTATAGGTTACATAAATAAATGTATATATAATATGTTTACATATGTTTACATTATTCAGATGTTTCAGGTACCGCACTAAATGCCACACCCTCCCGACCTGGTCCGACGCCGAGCCCCTCGAGCCCCTCGAGGCCCTTGAGGCCTGAGAGCTCCGGCGCGGCCTCGGGTCAGCGGGGCGGAACGGCGGATGGTGGAAGGGTGTTGAAAATAATACCTGGGGGAGTCTGGAGATGTTGGGATAGTGTTAATTGTTGAAACTTTTTGGAGATGATGTGAGTTTAGTGAAAGCTGCCATGTGAGTTTAGTAGCTTTCTGGCCGTTGCTGGACAGGACAGCCATTGGAAGCCCTCAGCTCTTGAAACTTCCCAATGAAGCTCCTTCGCAGCTGCCATCTCAGTCGTGTTTGACACGCACCAGCCGTGCTGTTTAGGCTTATGGCTCCTGTGATCATAAGTCGCATCTCACTTGAGACAGGGAAACAAGAAAGTGTGTATGTGAGAGCCGTGGCGTGTAAGAATTGCCTGGTGCCAAACTGTGCTGCACAAGTGCGGTCGTATGTCACGCGCGCGCTCCGCATAAGAGCAACCTGGGTCGCGAGGAGAGGTTGCTAGAGCATGTGGTGTGGTGAGGTTTGTCAACATAGAGGCTGTGTTGCGTCAATGCTAGTTTGTGTATTATAAAGAAATATGGTGCGTGAACGCTGGCTTGCGTAAAAGTTGCGGCGTGTAAACGCTGGCGTGTGTAAGAGCTGTACGCACTGCGTCGAAGCCGTGTTGCGCAACCTCATTGTAGACACTGCTATTGCTGCCAGTGAATGGACGTGATGCTATGGTAGGTGATGCTAGTGTTGCTGGTGAGGGGGGGTCACCAAAATAATTGATAAATCAATTATTCATCACATTGGACCATCATCCGAGCAGGCTATTGAAGCTAAACCCTTTGCTTCGCAAAGCAAACTCAAGCTAGCCCTTACCAGGCTACCTTTCGTGACAACCTGTTTTGCCCCTGTTTGGAAAATTCTCGCCTGTGTTCGCCTTCGTCCAGGGTAGAGCTGCGGCCTGTGGAATTTGGCGGACTCAATCAAGCTGATCAAGGTTCTTGTCTTTTCCACACAACTCAGAGGACTGGCAATCAGATTGCTGAAATCATCCGAAGGCTCTCAAACCTCCTCAAACCCTTGAGCCGAACTTCTTCAGTCTTGTGCAACCCCCGAGGTCGGGCGTTCGCTTCGGCGACACAGGCAGGTGTTTCATCTGCGAATCTGCTCGCGCCTGAGGTGCTCCTGAGAGGCTCGACCCCGAAAAAAAAGCTCTCCAGGTTCGGTCAGGTGCTCCAACTGTTTCGGACCTAATCTCCGGGTAACGGTACAGTTGTGGTGTTCCTTTTGGGGAAGCATTCGTAGAGCGACCCCATTGCGGCCCCAACGCATGCCCTAGCTCTAGTCTGCGAGGATGTCTCAGTGTGGCGACCTTTTTCAGATTGGAAGTTCTATCAAGTCCCTATCGTTGGTATTTCATGGATGAAAGCAATGTCAACTCTCCCAGCTGAAAATACTCTGAGCACAATGAGCACAATGGGAAAACACACAGCCGGCCTGCCAGGTTACCCTATCTCCTCCATTCTCATCCTACTTCATGTTGCCAGGTGGACTCCATGAAAATGGCATCAAGTGGACTGATAAGTGATGGGAAATTGTGCGCACGGGAAATTGTGCGCACACTCTCCGCCTCGCAATGGTGCCGCGACTGGCCACTGTGTCGCGGGTGCTCATCACCGTCCCACGGTTGCTGGCCACAGTGCCCCGCATGCTGGCCACAGTGCCGCGGCCTTGGCGGAAGGCATCTTTGCCCTGGATGACCCATGATCGGTGGGGAGTAGCATGAAGTATCCAAAGGAAAGCATGCGTGATCGGGCTAGGTGGGTCCCTGTGTCTCAAAGCAATGCGACAACTGGTTGATACTGATTGACTGTCTGACTGCTCAGGTTTCTTCTCTGATCCAAAGTCGTGATGCTTCGAAACCCTTGTCCCACTTCAGCAACAGATGTTCTCAGATTGCCACCTGTGTTTCTCGATTGGCTCTTCAGCTCCTGATAGGCTTCGATTCGGCATCACAGGGACAACTCATGAGCTCACTCAGGTGTTCACCACATGTTTCATGTTCCACACAAAGCCCATCTTCGCCACCGAGACTCTCCTCGCTCCGAAGGTCGCACGCCCGACCACGATAGACTCGACTCCCCCGACGAACCCCACTCCCGCTCCCTCGCCTTCAACCGTCGCTGCTTCGCTCGTTCCCGGGCGGCCAAGACCATCCGGGCCAAAGCCTCGTGAAGCGCACCAGGAACTAAGAAGCTACTAGGGGCTCCTGGCATCGCTGCTAGTAGCGATCGGACGCTACGAACGGGCTCCTGGCCTTAGTAGGAACAAGGTTAGGAGCAAAGGGCATCGCTACGAACGGAACAAGGACGCTACCCGCCGAGGTCCGGCTCGTCCCGGGTTGGAGCCGCCGGTCGGAGCTCCGGCTCAGAGGTCCAGTGAACGGTCACCGGGCGTCGGTTGGAAGGAACACCATGCCCGATGGCTTCGCAATGCTTCACAGCTGCGTGAAAGAGCTGAAAGTATCTGAAAGTTAGGGTTGATATACTGGTTGATATGAGAAGCATGAGAAGGAGGTTGGTAAGGTATTGTGAAAATAATCCTGTTGCTGCGGACAAACAAGAATGTCACAAGCAAATTCATACCCGGCAACAAAACGATTGTCATATGTTTGTGCCTGAGCCTCACTTCTCTGCCCCATCTCCTGGTGTGTCAGTTGATATATCCAAGGAGCTCTGCAGAGTGTAAATAAGAGAATAAAGCCGACAACACCTCCACCAATCAGCGCAATCCTTGTGGGAGAGCGAGAGTGAGAGTGAGGGAGAGAGGGAGAGAGGGGGAGAGAGAGGGAGTGAGGGAGTGTACCAAGCCGTGCTCCAGCAGCAAGATAACAGAATGCATTATGAAATTATGAAGAAAATGACGCCTCCATTGGCAGCAACTAGAACACACCGCAACGATAGACAATACGGATCACCCGGTGAATCCCTTGCCACAGGACCTTCCAGCCCCAGAATCTCCATCAAGTACTCACACCTTTATATAGACCCCCAAATAGATAAAATCCCTTTCAAAATGTATTGGAAACCGCACCACTATCTATTTGGGGACCACTATACCTTCATTCTTGCCTAAAAAAACCGAGCCACATCACATGGTCGTGGATGCCAAATGCGGTGGCCTCCCACCAAAGCTTCGCTGTAAAGAAATGTCACTCCCCGAAACAATCATGGAAGTCGAAGGCATTGCCCTTTTTAAAAACAAGGTTACCTCATTTTCCAAGAAACAAACTGGCAACTTCCTTCCATGTCCCCAGGCTCCAGGCCCCATTGGGTTCTCTCCAGGCCCATCTCTACACCATCATGATCATGCCCAGTGTCATGAAGATCAAGGCAGAGTCGTCCGGCGGTGGCTCGCGTGAACTGCAGAGCTCGCCACGCATGCGCGCCAAGGAGCTCCAGTCGCATGTCTCTGAGCAAAGGCCCAGACAAACCTGGGAAACCGGGGATTGTTCGCGGCAACTCCAAAAAATAGGAAAGGTAGGAAAAGAGTTGGCTTCGTTGAGTTCGTTGAGTTCACCTCTACCTCTACCTGGTTTGGGCTTGCGCCTGTCTGCTTCGGTTTGCATGTGGACGTCTTGCTACACATTTCAACTTTTGTGCAGCCGACCGTCGGTGCAAAATCATTTTGCCACAGTCGGGCAGCTAGGCCCCCAGGCCTCCTGCAAGTAAATGATGCTACAGTCATTGCAGTGGGACGCGGTCCTGTGCGGCACGCAGGCACGTTCAGTTGCTGCGCCATCCTGTAGGCCGCAAGCAGCATAAGCTAGAATTGAAACTAAACATCCTTTACCAGTACCGAACGATGGAGATGGATTTGAGTTGGAGAAAAACTCCTGGCTGAACCTGGAAAGCATGTTATATAACAGACTACTTAGTGAAAAGTCAGATATCACCAAACGTTTCCTCACCATGACTCGCCATGAACGGACGGTCCGCGTGACTCACCGGACGGTCCGCGTGACTCGCAAGGACCGACCCGCGTTTCCCACGCGGGACTCGACGTCTTCGGAGCTGCGTCACGAGGCGCGAAGGAGAACGAGTCGCGAGTCGAGTAAGCTCACATTGATGAGTAAGAGAAGCCAATTTGGAACACCACATCCGGTTATCAAACGAAATGCATGACATGCCTGGATAATGCACCAAACCACACCGACACACACTGCATTCAAACATTATGTTGTTCTCTTTGCCATCCTGGGGCCAAGTAATTAGGATGGGCGGAGCCCAATGGTGAAGCCATGTTCCAGAGCCAGGAAGAGCCTAAAAGTCCACTGAGGATTCTTCTAATTTGCCCCTCAATGTGGCTGCATCATGCTGCCTTTCTGAAATGGTCTGTCCCTGGAGGAATAAGGTCCCCGCAAGTTTTGCTGAATCTATACCAAACCGGGGGAGTCCCAAAAAGGACAGTAAGACAGTATGTTCACCCATGTTGCGCTCAACAAAAACTCCTCTGAGCGTCAACAGTGTCAACGCCCAACAACTCTGGGCCTTTTGATAGAAGAAGACCTCAACAATGGAAACATTCTGTCAAGTCAGAGCATTCCTGAGACGTCTCTTATGATATGTAGGTTGTTCATTCTTTTAATTATTTTACCTCAGGAATGTTCTGACTGAGTCTTTTTAATATGACAGTGTCACAAGGTGTCACGAGTCACGAGTGTTCAAGAGCTGAACCCGCCAACAACCTATGTCAAAGCGCACTCTGTCTGTCAAAGCACGTGGCATATGGGCACCCGCCATCGCTACGGAAGAAGACTCCGTCCACATCGCAGCCTAGAAATCGAAGGACGCGTGACGGCGCATGACGCGCAGCCAGCAACAGCGACATGGTTGAAAAACAAGAAACCCCTACTCCATTCAACTCCCCATTTCCCATCAATCAAGAAGTCAGAAACCCCCAGTTCATCGAATTCAGAGGTGAAAGTGGCAAGAAAAGGAGAACCATGGACTAGTCAGTCTCATCAGAGTCTCAGGTTCCCAGTCTCTCTCAGTGCTACACATGTTGGGACTTGTCAGTGCCTGAGTCGTTGAGGTATCCCACAGGCGGAACGCATCTCATGCACCTGGCAGCGTGGAGGTGCTTGGGCCAAACCATGGACCCGCCAGCACTTGATATTTATGCTAAACCCGCTGTCAATGATCTTTCCGAAATCTATCTAAACTCATATCATAAAAGCACATAAAAGCACTAGTCAATCATAAAGCTTCACATAAAGCTTGCCGTGAAGCACCCGATTCCGAGGACATCCTACTATATGTATTTTAATATATACTAGTAACAAGAAGCTACTACGGGCTCCTGGCCTTACTACTAGGAGCAAGGACGCTACTAGGGGCTCCTGGCATCGCTACTAGGAGCATTCTTACTACTAGTCACAAGAAGCTTATATACCTTGGTTTCATCCTGTTTCATCTCTCCCCATTCTTCGTTCACCCAACCGGTGCAGAAATCGCGCCACGTCCGCCTGTCGTTCCACTGGCATCGCTTCTGACCGTTGGACGTCGGCAGCCGGCTGCCCAAGCAGGTCCGGGGCGCTCGGGGGGCGGTGCAGCGGCGGATGGCGTACTCCCCCAGCACCGAGCAGCTGGGGATCGTATCTGGCACCGAGCGGCACTCTGTAGAGTGGCTTACGGGCGCTAGACGCGGACGCTCTGCACAGAACCATCGTAGAGTGGCTAGGACCAAGATGACTAAGTAGCTGCGATTCTGAAGGGCTGGAGCACCAATAGCTCCACACAGTTAGTCAAACCGAGTGGATCGGCTATGCCGCTGTCTTCAAGACTGCTCGAATATGCTCATTGACTCTTATTGTTTCTTGCTCAAATGTGTGGATTCTATGAAAAAGTCCTTCTATATCTTCCATCACAATGCTGAGGTTGCAATTTTGACCAGAGCCTTAACAAAGAGTTAAGAAAAATAAGATACAATCCGCCAAACCCTTCTCAGAGGCGGTTGGTCGTCAAATCATATCAAATCCATTGTTTCACCAGGTTTCACACTTCAATCGCCTTCCACCTGGACGTCATCAATGAAGACATCGAAGCTTTCGTTGAAAAGGCTGTCATTGCTTTCGTTTTCATCCATACTTCAGCAGGTCCGGCCATGGCACTAACCACCAGCGTCTATGCGAGTAGATTCGGGGTATTGTCAAATGTATGTAGTAGTAGTTTTGCTTCACTCAAAGCCATCCCATGGCATTGCACAGCATGAGCCCAACACCGAACGCACATCTTAGTATATAACTCTTCAATGTAAGGGACAAATTCATGTAATGGCAAACAAGCTGATCTCATGACCTGTCCAACGTCGTAGCTCGAGATCGTACTGGCATCATGTTGTTGCTGTCCATGAAAAGCTTGAGAACATGCAGCTGCTGACGCTTGGAACTGCTTGAGTCACGAACAAACAGTCGACTCTGCTTCACACAACAGTCAAAGTCTTATTACCAGCGCCAATATTGTTCAATACCATCCCAAGGATTTCCTCCGATGAGCTTGTATCTCAAGGAAAATAGATCTTTATGACTGGAGGAATGAACTTCCAATAGACTTTCCTCCAGATGATTCCTTCTCCAAATTTCAATCGATCTCCGGCGCAAGCCTCATGGTCTTGAAGGAGTAAATGTAGACCTCTGGATGAGTGAAAAAGGAGGAAGATGCGAGTCGCCCTCTCCACCGACGTAAATCCATCCAGATTCGCAGTTGGGCTATTGAAGCGATGACGGTACAAATCCAAGGATTAAAAAAACACAGGACAAGGTGTTCGGAAACATTCAGAAACCAAGTAGTGAAACAATTTGAAAGACACACACAAAAAATAAAATAAAAACAAGAAAACATGCTGTTCTGTAATCACTATTGCCTGCTTACTGCCTCGACTTCCTGTGATCCCGGCATTGGGAGTACTGCTAATGCTCCGCTCGGCCGCTGCGAAGTAGACCATATCCGGTGACATCTGGGCGACATCGCTGCGAAAGCACGGCGGATCACGTCCGGCGGCGGATCCTTCCCCCAGTCACCCAGTGGAATTGGGTGGGGATGAGCAACCCAGTCACCGGAGGATTGAAGCCAGGAACCTGTGGGTGAGTCTTTTTCGGGCAGTGGCATGTGTGCGCTCCCTGTTGATCATGTCTTCAGGTTAGTAAGTAAGGCATTGCATTACATCACTTGGCACCAGTATATGACCTCCTGGACTCCTGCAGGTTAGACTCCAACCCAGATCTGTTGCATTTCTTTGCGAAGGCTGCCGACTGCTGCAAACCTGAATTTGTAGGCCTCAACAAAGTCTCGAACTGGACATGGTTGTCTGAAACGTGTCCAGGAGTATCAGCATACCTTCTTGTTGATGTTTCTAGTAGCTTCTTGTTACTACTAGTAAGGCACTTGTTACTAGAAGCGATGCACTTGTTACTAGTAGCTTCTTGTTACTACTAATTCCATGTAATTCCCTCGTTTTTCGAGTGTCTGTCTGAAGGTCCACCGCACCTGAAGGTCCCCCGCTTTCTTCGCCAGTGCAATTCGGCGTTCGACGTGGCGCGGCGTCTGGATGGGCGACCCAAAGCAAATATATTGAGTTCAATCCAACCAGCACATCAACGAAGCTTGATTACCTTGTTGTTTTCGATGTTGGTACAACTACTACTGACCTACCTTGTTGCACTCAGCCACCTGTGGGCGCGCGCTGGCGGACCCGCGACCCACGCCACGTTAGCGCTCCGATCCAAGGCACTGCAATGGCTCCAATTCCGCCACTGTCTCTACCATGCAAAAAGCGCCGCTGCCGCGTTTCTGGGGAAAGCTGGCCGTCGGCACAGGGGAAAGAGACCTTTTTGCAGAGAAGATGAATACAATATATATATATATATAATATATGTATGGAATTATATGGATATATGATATATATATATATATGTGGCCTCCACCCTACTAGCGATGGCCTCCAACCTAGTAGGTTGGAGGCCATATTATGACGACCTCCATCATCTGATGAGCAACAACTGGACTGGACTTTCGGAGAATTTTTGGAACCCAACTCGGCTCTGTTGATGGAGGACTTGTGCTCAACAAAGCTTGTGATTCAGAGAAAAGAATCGAAAAGAACCGCACGCTTAGTACAACAGGTGTGTACCCCAGTTGGATTGATAAGATTGTTGGTTGTTGATGACATTTGTAGGGTTGCTTGAGAGGTAGCGCCGTAGGTAGCGCACACTGCTAGGAACCCATCTCAAGACTAATCTGCACCCCACTAACATGCCACCAAGCAACGAATGTTCATGAAGCACGCGACATGGCCGGTGATGTAAGCAAACTCCTGGAAGCAAAGACTTCTTGAACGGAAATTGAGATGAACGACCAATGAATGCGCACGAATCATGTAGTGACTAATTACATTGTAAATGGTCATTATATAGGTATATCTCCCATTCCCAGTCAGAGTGGATGATGGTGGTTAGAAAAGACCGTTCTCAGGAACAGTGATCATCGTTTTACCGACTGTTACAGGTCATGGGACACACCAGCACAGCACCCCTATTTATATATGCTACTGTCTGTATATAAAATATAGTCACATCATCACTTCTTCCAAAGTGTGACAAGGTGACGACCCCTGCTCGCGTAGGTAGAATGTCAGTCCTCTTTTGAGGTCCAAACTGCATTGTTCACCCGGCTGAAATCGTAGCCTCCATATGATGGGAAAATTGAAGCTGGTGCAATGATATCATGACTCTTTGCACCTGCCATTCCAAGTGGGATGAGTCTGCAAAGTGCTTGAGTGCTACAGGTAAAACATTGCAAAACCACCTTCAATGCAAGCGACGCTGCACTGTTGACTTCTTCTGGCTTCTTTGCTTCGCTCACACTTCTCGACCAGTTCCATCCAAGTGGCTTTGCTTCGCTCATTCCGTCCCATCTGATGCTTTCCCCGGCCGGACGAAAAAAAAACAAAAAAAACGAACCACCGGCGCCGCCCCAGACGACCGGCGGACGGAGCTTCTTTAAAGCGCGCCAAGGCACCCATGAACCGCGACGCTTTGGTGGCGCTTCGGGGCAGCTCTCGATCCTGGCCAGGGGGCAAAGAAGGAAAAAAACAAATGAAAATATGACTAGTTTAAACAGATATACTATACTATATATATTATATGATATGTATTGATATGTATGTATTATATCTTTGCGTATTTTTAGTTAAGCATCTGAAGAAACATAAAGGTCTACATGTTAAAAGAAAGAAAGCAAAACTGAATCCAGACTGACGGATTCAGATCACTCCAGATCACTTCGTATCAGGGCAATTTAGTAAGAGGGCCCATATATATAGAGAGAGAGACAAAGAGAGAGAGAGAGAGAGAGCCCACATCCTCGGTGGATCGACGGTGGATCGGAGAGCCCACTCCCGACCGCGAACTCCGGTCGTAGCGGCGGGCGCGGAAGAGGCGCTGAGGACGACCGCGGTCGGCGCCCGACGTGGGACTCCTCCAAGGTGGGGCACAGGTCCGGGGCGCTGGGATCGTAGAAGAAGCTGGGAGGCATTCGCCACCTGAGCGTCTACTACGGCGTATGCCGGTGTGTTTCACACCCCGCGTGGGGTGATTTTCACACCCCGCTCGGGGGGGGAACACCTGTTTGGATTTCGGACGATTTCGGTGTGTAGGCTACCAGGTCGTTGAAAAGGCGGATCGGGCAGATCTGTACTCTGACCGCTGATCTTGAGGTGCTCAGACCAGGAACAGGGCTAAGGCTGAAGCTTGGCTTCTTCTGCGTCCAGCTTCTCCTGGGTGTCATCTCCAGGAATGGATTCACAGATCCTTAGCACGGCTCGACAGCTGTTCCATGCGGTTCCACCCACCGGTCGTTGCTACGTGATCATGAGGGCTACAACCAAGCTATGCAAACGAGCAAACGATTTGAGCGTCTTGAACCTACAAGGAAAAACAGGCTGAAACCAGGAACTGACATGGTTTCCTACGATCAGGTGGTTTCCATGGAAACGTTCCCGGGAGTGTAAATCTTTATCAGGCGCTTTCCTGCTGGCCATTTCCTGCGACCGCGCGGAGCGCCCCTGCCAGGGCACGAGGAGCTGCGCTTCCGTCGGATGCCCTCGATGATCTCTTTGGAGGCTTGCCTGCCCCGGCAATGCGAGGGGTCCGTCACCTTTGTGTGGAGCCCCACAATGACAATAACAGTGTCTAGTCCCCACAACATTGAGCACTACGACTACTATGGTGGTAGCTCTGCACCTCAGTCGCCAGTAGTTGAGTTTCGCCTCAAAAAAACTGTGGCAGAAGCTGTGAGGGGCTCCTGTGCCGATGTGGGAGTTCCCAGATTTCTCAAGTTTACCTTGCGAGCAAAGGCTGCCGCTTCAGGCCATTATTGATATGATGGGTGGCATCCAGGTTCTTCTGCCAGTTATATACATACATACCCAAGTCAGCACTGCCGAATACAGGCCATGCCGCTTCCGGAGACCAGTCGCCGCCGCTACCGGAGACTGTAACTAAGGTAAATCAAGGCCGCTCAGAGCCGCTCAGAGCTCTTTCATGTCTCCCTTCCCACCTCGTGATCGGAGGACCTCTCCTCACCACCTGGCTTCCGGGAAAGGTATTTGGAAGTGATCATCTGCTGAGTCATCTGAAAGGATATATATATATATTTGTACAGCATATAATATACTATATAACATTATATATATATATGTATATATAGAAGTCCAATGAAGTCCAAAGACTATTTTTGGCACCAACCAAGTAAAGGAAATTCCTTTTCGGATCACCTGAAAACCGTTTTAAGCATGGTCTTGGACTCCCAGGGTATATACATAATTAACATTAATTGACTATACATTGTTACATTGTACTATAAACAAATATAAACAATATAGTTTCTCAGAGCAACTGTATCAAACGCCCATCGCGAATCAAGACGAAGGAAGGGACCTGGATGACCTGGATTCTGGGAAGTTCGGCACACCTAAGATAACCTAAGCATACCATGCAAAATACCGACGAACGTCCATGGCATGTGATGGGTTCATGAGACCGTCCCAATCTCGGGGTAGAAACCTGAGAAAAGAACTTCACTCCGCGACCCGATCTTGGTGTCCCTCTTGACGCTGCCCGTTTCCTGAGACGAGGCCCGGCCTTCTCTACCGGGCTATCATCGCCTGACCGGCACAGCCACAAGAGGTCTACAGGTGAGTGGGAGACTGTCCAAAGAGAATGCTTGCTTGTGGTAATGGACCTACTGAACAGGTTCCGATCAATCACCCTGCTTCACACACCAATGGTGGTCTCTTCGTTCTCACACCTTGCTGGTGGTCTCCTGTCTCCATTTCGATGCCCAGAATCGAGCCAAGGCGTCCACAGCTGGATCGTTTAACTGCCAGCTTTGCACCCAAAGTGTCCTGGTCCTCCAAGTCCCTTGAAAGCCTTCCATTCAAATTATGCGGAAAGCAACACCGTTCGGCGGATATTCCCGGCCTTCTGTTTCGGTGGCGTCGCTGGGACCCTGGCGGTCAAAAGCCGGTGGCGGAAGGAATGGTTCGATGTCAGCACCGGGAATACGACATGGAACAAGAAGCTACTAGGGGCTCCTGGCATCCCTACAGCAAGGACGCTACTAGGGG